AGTCTTACTGCACTGAAACCCAATTTGTCCGACAGCCTTTATTCCAAAAACAAACACCTATTGCACAAAAATATACCAAAATCATGATCTTTTCCTAAACCTAACCAAAGTACGACCATTTCATAACGTTAATTAACGTGTTTATTATTGTTTACCATGCTGGCGAAGGTCACCTGACTTCCTGCTCGCCCAAATACGGTAAGATATTAAGGGGAAAAGACTTCCAGACAGAGGCTGTGTTACGCATTTTTCTGTAAGTTGAGCTTTGAGTTGAGGTTATTTGGTTGCACGGACTAAAACTAGTTTTGCCCATTTTGCTTAAGTACTAAATTCACATGTAAAATATAATTTTCTATCAATATAATCTGTAATAATAACTGGTTTAAAAACATGTTTACATTAAACTATGTGCTTCTGTGATGTCAGAACGACTTCACACACCGGTGGCGCTCAGGAGTTTTTTCTCATTTGTTGCTGTGGAGATTTTAACCGTTAGAGGAAAAAAGCCACACTGACATATTCGATTGTCAAGGACTCTGATTGTCCGTCGAGCAATGTTCTTGATTAGCAAATAATGGAACAATGGTGGCCAATAACTGTAATTACAGTCATTTTCCAAAACCCCCCACACAACTAATTAATGAGTCGCTTACAAATCGACGGGCGAGACAAGAGAGAGACAGGAGAGTGAAAATCAGGAAGGAGGTAAATTATATACCATCAGACAAATGTTGCTTTTGTCTCGGGCGGTGATGTAAAGAAACGGCGGAGGTACTAATCATCTCCTGTCATTCAGCCGATCCACTTGTGATAATCATGTATTGTTACCAAGGGGAGGGATATGGGGGGATGGGGGGTCAATTCTCTTCCAGCTCAATCAGCTCTGAGAGATTCCTTTGAAACCGGAGAATGTAAAGAGACACGACAGCATCGCTCCGCTATGCAAAGGTGGGGGGAAATAATTAAGTCGAAAAAATAATTAGGGAAGCTCTATCATTAGCCAGTGAACTTTTCTATTTAATTTAATCAAGTTTTACATTTGGAACTGATTTGATTAAAGCAATGGCGGCCTGCAACCACAGTATTTTCATATTTCTGTGTCCGTTCTGACTTCATAAAAGCTCTTTTCCCCCCTCAAATAAACCCCAAATAATGTAAACTGTAGTAATAAAATATTTAGTCTAAAAAGATGTTAAGTGAGACCACATGAGGAGGGGAAGATGAGAGCATGGAAAGCATGAGTCTGTATGACTCTTGATTTAGAGAATTATTACATAGCTAACTCCACTCGTGCCAAACGAGCTCCAGATTACAATAATACCACCGGCGAGCAATTAAGTCCATATAAACACTGCATGCAGAGTGCTGGCACCAGAGTAAGCCACACACACACACATTAACACACATAGGTTGATATGGGTGCTCAGCCTTCACCGCATCTTGCCCCCGTATCCATCAGCAGCAGACGAAGGCTAACCTGACAAACACCCAATACCACCAGCAGCTGCCTGCGCAAGGATAATTAATATGGCCGGCAATGTGGCGGAGCTATAAACGTCCTGACGGAGACATGAAGTAGAGTGACTGATGGAGAGACTATCACTAACACACAGAGAGAGAGAGAGAGAGAGAGAGAGAGACTCATAATCCAGGAAAAAAACATTACAGATTTCTCTGTGACGCTAATAACGCCAACTTAATTGTCTCTTTTCTGTGTAGACGATGTTAGGTGACTGACGGTCGGAGCTCTTCCCAGTCTGGTGTGTTGACATGAAGCTCTGCTGGTTTGAAAGATGAACAATTAGTCTAATTATTTGATTAAAAAAGGTTAAAAGTACAAGCCAGCATGCACGACAACAACGAGGAGTCAGTTACATCCAGTAAAGAGTAATGCTCGCTTGTATTCAAGGTGTTGACATCAAGTGTAAACCCTCAAATGTGGCATTAGGTCACAGGTAAACACTAAAATATGTTAGATTTGATGGTTTGATCTGAGAAAACTGTTTAAATCAAGTGAGACGTAGGGTAATTTCTCCATAAGACTCCATACTGTCAGACTTTCTTCTGCCCCGTCAGTGGTTGACGTATGTTTTATTAGTCGTGTGCTAACATGCGTTGAGTTACCATGTTTTTGAAGGTTGCAAGTATTTAGCATTTAGCTTAGCATTTTACATCAAGCTTGTAAGCAGGTTAGCGTTCCAGTATGTTCCAGTAAGAAAGTGAAAAAGCCCCCAAATAGACCTTTATCACAGCAGCCATTTTGGTAGTAGAAGTAGTGTAGGTCAACATACTAACTGTACACATTAACGTGCTGGAAATATATTAACACTTGTACAGTTAGTATGTTCACAAACAAACATTTAGAGACATTAAGATTCTGACATTGAACCTATATATTAGCCTGTAAGTAGCATGTATTATGTAACCATGGAAACTAGTATTAACTGTTTCCTCATTTGCATGTTAACAGTCTTACAATTAGTATGTAATGTTGACATTTGTAGCATATTAACATGTGTACAGTTAGTATGTTGACATAAAAACATTTAGCATGTAATGGTAATGCACATTAAGATTCTGACATTTTAGTTATATATTAACTTGTTAGTGGCATGTATTATGTTACTATGGAAACTAGCATTTGTACTAACAATTAGCATGTGATATTGACATTTCTAGCATGTTAACGTGTGCAGTCAGTATGTTAACAGGAAGGTGTTTAGCAAATAACTTAATTAGCATGCTATAATAAAGGACTAAGTCACACAGTATCAGGGCCCATGTATTAAAGCACTGAACACTGCGGAGACACCACATGGGCAGCATAAAAGTGGCCGTACGCATTCACACCCACACTAAAGAGGTTGAACGAACACAGCAGAGCCAGAGCAGCCGTGTCTCCTCCTGCTCATCTGCGGCCTATGTTAATATGATTAGACTGGATTATGGTAATGTGCAGTGGGATCTGGTGGGTGTGGGGCGATGCTTTGCTGCTCTCGTTTCGGGGAATAGTTAATTGGTTGGGTTGCTTTGATGTTGTGGTGATGAGAGAAAGGGGGTTGGTGGGAAAGAGGCTGGCAAAGGCGCCCCTACAACTCAAGCCCATTTTATTTTTGGCCTACGAGGGATCTGTGCTGGCGAGCGGTGAAAAGGAATGAAACCTGATGAAACCAATGAGAAAACGAAGCAGATCTGGAGCTGCAACATTGTGAATATTCAGATAACAAGTGTGGGAGAAACACAAGCCCTATTTTTTTTAGTCTCTCCTGCTGAGTGAAGCATGTTAAGTCAACGGTTGATCTGTTTAAAAGTGGTGATGAATTGTAGATTTAAACCTTTTATGTGATTGAAAATGTCCTTAATCTTTGCCCTGGAGTAATATTGCTCAACTTATTGGGTGGCACATTCTCTTGCTTCTATATGCAAATTAACAGCATACAAACGTGTTGCATAACATCTTTAGTAAAATTTTACATTTCAGCTTTAACAGTTTCCTATCTACAGTTACAGTAGGGGGAAAAGCTGCTGCTGCACTGCCTTTATGTTCATTTGCGGGTCAAGACCTTTAAACTTATTTCTCCTCCGGGTTCGCCAACAATCAGGGCCAGCAGGTGTTCTGCCTGCTGTGATATTGAGCTCTACAGATACAGATACTTTTGTAAATAAGCCTGCTTACAGCTGTGTCCACTGCATTAGTCCAACATCAATATTTCCATTACAGGTGTATACAAAGGATACATCTGCTAATGTAAGAAATGTAAATGCAGAGGCTACTTGAAGTCAAACTAATACTTTATTATTTTCTTATTGGTTGGAATGAGAGAGAGAGAATGAGAACGCTCGAAAACACGTGTTTGGCTTCCTGAGCGCAGCATCTGCAGGCTCGTTCGAGGTGAAGAAGGCGACAGCATCCTGTTGGATCGTTGTTAGTCTGCCTGTAGTTCGCAGACCGTATTCGGATACATAAATAAACTTTATTTAATTATTATCAACCACACAAGATGTGTTTGTGAACCGATTAAACCTTCAGTACACAACACGAGACACTAAAACAGCTTTTAAACTGGAGTAAAATATTAAAATCACACAGAAATCCTTTTAGTTATTGTTGCCCACAACGCCAGAGCGAGTCGAACACAAACATAACTCTTTGTTTTGCAGAGATATAAACTCCAGTCACATGACTCAAACTCTGATAACTTGAGATCGACTTGAACACCAATGAATGGGGACGTCACACTTGGTTATTAAAACACACGCAGCGAGCCAACTCTTCCTTTTCCCCTTCTGAAAGCAGCCAATCAGCATTGTGTGAGCAGGAAGGGAAACAGGCAGGTCAGAAATGAAAAAAAATATTGTAGTTTGGTCACAAGAGTAGAACACTAAAGCACATCTGATCCATCTGCTAATCAATTAATTAGCTATAAAAAGATGTCTATAGATTTACTGAGCTGTAAAAACAGCATTAAATTGGGCGAAGGACACATAATGACTTGTGTAGGATTTGGGGGATTTGTTGGTTTTTCATTTTCCTGCAAAACAATTACTTTGTCCCAACCTTTCCTGAACCCATGACACAGCATTTAGTTTTGTTTTTACAACAGGATTTACAAATGTATCCTCTTTTTGAGATTAGTTAGTGTGAAGTACTGAGGACCCCAGACATGACCTTAGACTTTAGAGCTGCAACGATTAGTCAATTAATCGATTAGTTGTCAACTATTTAATTAATCTGCAACTATTTTTATAACTTATTCACCGCCAAATTTCTGCTTGTAAAAATGTGAATATTTTCTGGTTTTAGTCGTATATGACAGTAAACAGACGTCACTTTAGGCTTTAGGGAAACAGTGATCAACATTTTCTCACAACTTTCTGGACCACACAACTAATCGCTAATGAAAGAATCGTTTATTTCCAGCCTCAGGAAACATAAAAGTTGGATTAAAACCTTTAGGACTGGTCACATTTTAAAGATTAAAAACCAAGAAGGAGCTCGATAAGTAAAAATCTTGCAATTTTATTTGCATATAAAGGCAGCTAAATATATCACAATAAACTGAAAGAGAGAACTAACATTTCCATGAAGAGGGATACAATCAGAGAAAGAGCGAGAGAGGAACAGAGCACAGAAAGAGCATTTACAGCGGCAAAGTTGAGACAACTATTGGCAACATTTTTTTTTTGTGCTAGCAAGATTGCATTTACACACAGTGCAAAATTAGAAGAAAAAAAAAGCAATAAAACACAAATACTATCAGATTTACACTTTAAAAAGGACAACTTAACCATGTTTAGGCAGGTGTGTTGTTGGGAACAACCAGCACCTGTTGGATTGTGACTCTGACAAATTTTTCCTCTCTCATCCAAAATGAATGTCTGCCCTACTGGGAGATACAAAAGACATGAAAGAAACCTCTGAAGAGCATCTGATGGGAGGATTAAAGAAACATGTCAATCATACATCAGGTGCATACAGGAGAAAAAAAAAAAAGCACCAGATTTTATTTTTTTCGTCAAACACAACTTTTAGTACAGATGTTTTACAACATGAATATATAATATATATATATATATATATATTTTATACATACATTTTCCAAATTAGATCAGAAGTCCATAATGGGATGTTACAAAGTTAAATTTTTCAGGTTGCAATTTGATAGCTTTCTGTCCCTGCGTTAGTCAGGTGTTTTTTTGCGGGGATGATGGGTAATAAATAAGGACTTTTTTTCTCTGAGCTCGCAGAGAGTGGGGCTCTAGCTGAGAACATTAAAGCTAGTTTAAGGCAGCGTCCCTGTCAGCCAATAAGAAAAGAGGAACTGACGAGAAAAAAAAAAACAACCTAAAACACAAAATATCAGATGATACAACATAAAACAATGGCATCCATTGTCCGGCCAATGCAAACCAAACAGAGAAATTGTACAAATTCACAAAGCATTATTTATCTTACAGATCTGACCAATATTTATCAAGAGCAAGATTGTTTAACCACAAAATCCCTCTGAAAAAAAAAGGAGAATACCGGTGCCACTCGTAGCTCATTTTTACATCCCCTGTCAGAAATTTGCACCACATTCGGCATTTATTTAGACTTAAATGTTCTTGTTTGTTTAAATATAAACCGAACACACGCAGATGTGATGGTACTAAAGTTACGGAAGGCCGTGGAGGACGAGAGTGTAAATATTTCTCACGTTTTGTTTTTCTGTGATCGTGAAGTTATCCAAAAAAATTAAATTATCTTTGTCATGATGCAGAAAATAAAACTGGCTCTTTTCTGGCATTCTGCACTATGGCAACATATTTTTGAGGGATTGTTTCCTGGATGAGTTTTCCATTTCTTCCTGTGGCGATTAACAGGAAGCAGACCGTAACGTTGAATAGCACCGATATAAAAACTGCTCAGCTCTGCATCACAAAAATCAGGATGAAAAGACGAAGTTTCTTCATGGATTAATCTTTGTGGACGTTGTATTTTTCAGATCTAAGCTCCTGATATCTGCAACTACACCGAGTGTGCAGAAAGAACAAAAGTCTGAGAGGGCGGACCAGCATTGTTGGCACAAATAGAAAAGAAATAAATCACCGGTATTCTCCTTTAACCCTCCCAGACGAACTCCCCACCCCGCCCCACCTCTCCAAATCTTCTCAATCCCAACGACAGCTCGGAGAAGACCAAAAGTTTGCAAAGAAACACTTAGAATTTTTTTTTTTTTTTTTAACTTGACATATTTATAGAAAAACAAAAACAAAAGTAGTTTGTCCTCTGCCCCCCTGTGAACCCTTCCTCCCCCACCCCCCGTTCCTCTGGTCTCAGGAGCTGGAGGGGTTGGGCAGGTCGAACACGATGGGGGGGTTGGTGGGCTGGAAGCTGACGGTGCAGGTCGACGCGTTGATGAACGTCGTGTAGCCGTCTGTCATGATCCCGTAGCCTGAGGAGAGGAAACATTCAATCACCCAACTGTCAGAAAGTAGGCAGTTAGAGAGGAAGTGTTTGATAAACTTCATTTCATTTATCAGCTTTATTTCATTATTCTCATCTTGGCACTAATTGCTATGAGAAGCTTGAGTTTAGTACAGTTACAGTTTTATTTAGGGGTGAAATATCTGCATATAATTTGGGTTCTGGCTATTAAACTAAATTTCTTTATAGCTTAAAGATTGATACACAATAATGCCATTAGTGTTATGTAACTAAGTAGTCTGAATGTATTAGGATTAATATAATAAGGTGGAAATGTTGATTGAGCGCGGAATGGAAGGAGAGTCAATTTTAGAATTTCTTAGCAATCTAAAATGTATTATACTCTGTAAGTATATATCAGTTCGTATGTTGTTCCTTTGTTGGTAAAAGATCCTTTTTCTGCACGTGTAACCTTAAATTGCGATCCCTCCATCCTGCTCTCGTACAGACTAAAACAATGATTGTGTCTGACACAGCAGAATCAACATAGAGGACAAACAGTACATCAGAACTCTACTCATTGAGCCACGGAGAGCAAGCAGAGGTCTAAGGTTATTCCTCTGTTACCAGCGTAAAGCTCAGACTCTCCTGACCTCTGACCCTGGAGGTTACTCTCATTACCTTCGTGTATGCCTCCGAAGGCATGGAGTTTGGGTCGCACCCTCTTCTGGACCGTGTTGAGCAGCTCCACGCAGCCGACCCGCTGCAGCTCCTTAGGAACCCAGTCTCGGAAACCTGCACAAACACACGCGGTGGATTGTTGTTGAAAATCAGATCCTCAGACAGTCCCGGCTGTGCTTAATCAATTTCATTAAGTGCCTCCTGGCTCTGATTCGATCCATATGGTTTGAGTATTGAGCAAAAAAAAAAAAACTTTATTTCATTGCCACATGGAATCATCTGACATAAATGTAGAGGTAGTTTTTAATTAAATAACTAACTACAACTAGTGACATCACAAATGTGTTCTTTTTTTACATCTTCTGCATTAAATACTTATATATTGGACTTCCTCATTACTACTAACTAATGTGTCGATCGCTGTCCACCATATTGTACACAATATGGCAGTTTTGGTGCTTAAAGCAGATTTTTGGACACAATCCCAGTTTTTATCAGAGCTTTATTTTTCCTCAGTGATATATATATATATATAT